TACCCAGGGCAGCCGGTGGCACATCGAGGCTTAACTTCATGGTGGTGCAGGACAAGATGTGGACACACAAGGACACACATGTTTGTCATTTGTCCAACATTTGTCATAAGTATGGGATGTCGGATCACAATGCCGTGATCACTGAGTTCAAGAGATGGTGAATAATAATTGGTAAACGAGTTGTAACCCACCAGCCTCGAGGAAGTTCTATCGTACTGCCAGATCAACTTCATCGCATTCTTACAATTTCGAGTACTCTAGAGGTACTCAGCATGTACTCAGAGGTAGATGCTGTGCGTACTTGAACAGGGACGATGCATATGGCCGTTCATGGACGGTCGGGCAATATACTAAGGGTCATTTACTTGAATGCCTGAAGAAGTAGACAACCCTGTTGACCTGTTCAATCCGGTCTGATGTATTTACCGTCATCTGCTGATCCGTAGTGCGCATCACGGCGCCCAGCCCCTGATTTCTACCAGTGTTTCATCTTTTGCACCAACCACCATGTCAAGCCAGAGACTACGCCCGCTCGGTCAGTCCTCACCTCAAACCAATCCAAGCAACTAAGCTCTCGTGTTGCAGACGGCATGGAGAAATACCATGCTGCCCGGTGTTTCCAGGGAATGGACACTTGTATCGCGCTCTCCGCTCGTTACACGACGCGAGGAGACACACCGCTCACCAAGGAAATTCTCTTTCCCGCCCTCAAGAACGTGATCGAGGCGCACGCGCCGCTCGGCGTACGATTCGACGGTGACGTCGCCTTCTTTCGTCTCCCTCGCATCGACCTCTCGCGTGTGGTGGAATTCTCGAACAAAGACGTTCAGACTGCCATGGAAGAGCAGCTGTCTCGAGTTTTCGACCCCTCGCAGGAGGACATGCCGCTCTGGCGAGTGGAGGTGCTTCCAGGGAATCTTGTCCTCCTAGCGATGAATCACGTCATTGGCGATGGGCTGAGCGCTGTTACATTCCACCGTTCGCTGCTGCGCGCGCTCCACAAGACATCTGATCATGATTTCTCCCCGTCTTCCGTCGTTGACGTCCCCGACACTCCGTTCCCCCCTAGCGTCTTTGACGTCATAAACACGCGCCCTTCGTGGTCCGCCTCCTTTAAGATGCTTTGTTTCGGCCTCCTCCCAGGCCCGCTGAACCAGGCCTACTGGTCCTGGACAGGCAAAGCCTTCCCTGCATCTGTCACCAGCACAAAAACTCACTTCCGGCTCATCACCATTCCGTCCTCGACCACCGAAAAGCTGCATTCCGCATGCCGCTCGCACGGAGCCAGCATCACGGGCTTACTCTACGAGCTCATAGTCGTCACACTCTCCCGGCTCATCGCAGGATCGGGTTTCACAACAGCGTTCATCAACGTCCCCGTCTCCCTGCGTCCCTTCATCGACACGTCGGTTGCCCGGACGGATGACCTATGCAACTACGTCGCTAGCGTTCAGGATTTCGCACCCCTGCACGCGGCCTTTTCGTGGGACGGCGCTGCGGCCACGACGGCTTCAATCGCCCAGCGCAAGGCATACGCGGCCGGGAACCTCGGCTTCCTTTCGTGGATGGGGGATTCAAAGGCGTTCAATCGCGCGTCGTTGGGTAAGAAACGGATGATTTCCGTTACGCTGTCAAATATTGGGCGCGTCAATCATGATGATGCACCCAGCGATTCGGACAAGTGGAAAATGGGAGACCTGGTTTGGGGGCAGGGTGATTCGGTGATTGGGCCTGCGATGGGGGTGAACGTTATTGGGGACCCGGAGGGTGGGTTGGTTATCTCGGTGACGTGGGGGTTGAAGAGCGTGGACGCTGAGTTTGGGGAGGAGTTTACTACTTCGTTGAGGGATGGTTTGCTCAAGATGGTAACGTGAAGGGACTGGTTTACTGAAAGGAATTGAATGTTGCTCAATTTCTATTTGGAGAGTCGACGATTGTCAGAAACGAGGAGCAAAAACAGGGATTCCCTCCGGATAGTATGGGCAGGCCGGATCGAACGACAGCGCTGATTCTGCTACTCCAAGAGTTACTCAAGTGGCAGTCGACTCTCGACTCAGCGGTTGCCCCACTTTCAACTCACCGAATCTCCACCCTGAATGCGACTTTGACGGACCGTGCTCGCTGGTCAACGGCCAACCGAGCGAGGTACTGTTTCTCTCATGTAAAAGAAAGCCCTTCCGGCTATTGGTTGCAAATGATTGGCAAAGATGCCTGAATGGCATTTGAGTTCGATACTTGAAGAGGAGGTGAGGTGATTTAAATTGGGAAGCTGGAGAACAGAAACAAGTGAACCAGGGAATGTGGCACAGTCGTGTAGCCCGTGATGTGCTGGACTTTATAAAGCTGATAGATCTCTCAGAATCTTCGGTTCAATGAAGAATAAATATTGCTGAAGCAGACAGTCCTCGCTTGCAATTTCCAAGTGGTGAGTGCAGAGAACTGCAGGCATCAACGGTGAACCGATTACTGTTGACTCGCTGGGCACCATAGAAAAATGGCAAGCTCAGGCGGTAAGGCCGCGAAATTCATGTGACGGTTTTCAAAAGATTTTGCTTCAAATATTTGCATAGACAATGCATCCGGGCCTTATCCGCAATTGCAAAAGGTCCAACGAAACGCTGAAGTGCGACACCCGAATCGAACGGTAGCGTGGAATGAATCGTCTACACTAGAAATACAACAACGCCTAAAGGCTCATATCGAGCTAATTTTATATGTATCCGTTGAGATACCGGTTTCCAGATCGTTCACAGCACCAGGAGCTGCATGGAATGTTGATAGTTCCTGTCGGCGTCGCAGTTCTATCGGTGCCTGCAGCATATTCAATACGAGGAGTCCTTGGTACGAGTCGGACATACTGTCGCGGAGGAACTCCCAGTGGGCGTTTGTTCGAATAACACGTTCATCGTATCACGTAGCGACTCTTCGTGCCATGGGCGTGCGTTCAACCTAGATTGATTCATTTTTGGTTCAAGTCTGAGAAACGGGTGGAGCGTACGTGCTGAGCAGGGCGTTGGTATATAGTTTTGAGAGTGGAAAGTCCCATACAAAGTTGCTGGACGGCGAAACTCAGCAAATTGTCCCGGAAAATACCTCCGCACTCACAGGGTAGTTTTCTAATTTGGATCAGAACGCTGAGCAAGGACGGTTTCTGAAACTCACAGGTTTGAACAGAAACGAAAAGAGATCCAACAGCGCGGCGATGGCCGTTATGGAGCCGGTTTGAACCGTCACTGTACCCCGTGTCAAAACCTGGAGTCCAAAGAGAAGAAGGTGCGTACTGCGAATGATTCTGTCGACTTGCCGGTCGGTCGGTGTGACTCCCGATTTACGGGTGTACTAACAAAGATAGTCAGTGTTGGAATCGGATGTCGATACCAGACAAACCAATGAATGAATGAGCGCAGTGCTCAAAAGCACGTCGCACGCCGCCGTGGTACTCAGCCAAGTGATCACGTATGGATTGAAGTTTGGAAAATCGGCGTATTCGGGCTGGAGGGATACGTTGACTGTTACGGACATACCGCCCACTGCGGGACAACGTAAGTATCAAGACGCCGGGAAGGTGGAAGGCGAACCGAGAGAGGCGATGGATAGGATGCAGATGAGGGCGGGGAGGACGTTGGATTGGGTTAGTGCTTTGACTCTCCATGCGACAAAGAATTGGACCGGGGTGGATATTGCCACCTGGTCCACCGGGCATGAGCGACCGAATCATCAACGGAAGGATCTTACTCACCGTCAACGCCGCGTCTGTACGTATGTTTAGTTTAGCGACCAATTGAAGGTGAAAATGATGAACCTGGTCTCAGCACTGGGACGGAAGAATCAGAGGGATACATACACATCGAGGATTGGTGGACACGCACTGAGGGGGGATATCTCCAGAGCCTTGGCCGTCGCTGAAGGGAGGTTTCCGCTTGAGTGGGGGTCAAGCAGCTGAGTGTATATGCAACGCACCGTAACGCACTATTAGAGGCTCGTAGATTAGCCCAATATCGAAGATGGTATTGGCGGTCTCCGCTATCAGCAGGTATAGTGCCTGGAAATTCACAGTTGGACCCCGGCGTGTGTACAAGAAGCTCACGAGCAGGCGGAACCACTTTCTGTCACTAAGGAGGGTGGTCAGTGTGATTCCACGACGGAGGACGATACTTGGGACACACCGTCTGTAACGTGTAAAGTACATCAACATCTAAGGGCCAGGCAGACAGGTATTCAGTGCTGTCGGCGACGCGGATTCTGCGAAGTATACCTGGACGAGCATGACCTGATCAAGTGAGTTGGACTGCCAAGGCAGTTAACGCGGGCGGACGCACACCATAGAGGGTCGTATTCAGCAACACCCCGATAAGCAGTGGCCCAAAGCTTCAAGTAGGTCTCGTCAGCCGTCGTCCCGAGCAGTATCGTAGGCCACGCACAGGAGTTCGACATCGGGAGCCTCAGCCATGGCGGGGTCATAAACGTCGTCGAGGAGAGGAGGAAGAAGGAGGAGGACAAAGCACCGGCATGCACGACGTGTGAATCCGAAGTGGTACTCGTCATGAGGGCGCCGTGGGACGTGGCGACAGCCTGCCTTGTGGCGTTGATGGCTCCGCGTGGCATTGATACTGACGATCTCACCAATGTCAAACGGAGCTGGCCAGGCAGATTCGTGTTTCCTTCAACTGCCGCACAATTTGGAAACCAAGATCGGGTGGCACACAGAGCATTGACACGGACAGTGATCGGATGGCCCTCTTTTTTTTTTGGACTATGACACTACGTTTCGGCCGAGGAACTCCGAGCAACTGGTTCAAATCAAGTCGCTGCCGCCGTCGGAGGCTCGGAGTGATGATGCGCTTGTGATGATTTGTAGCCTCGATGAATTCGGTGAGTAAGTAGCAACTTTGCGAATCTGCCGCTCCTTCACCGTGAACTTGAAGTTCACGCACAACGAGAATACAGAGGCGAGAGCGATTGGGTATATCGACAAATTACATGGATGTGTCCGTCACAGTGCCCGCTTGGCTTAGGGGTAAAGCGTATCACTCGTATGTGCATCGTGATGATAAGATCAGTCGTTCGAATCGGCTAGTGGGCACTTTTTTCCATCCTTTTTCGACAGTAAACACGCCATCTCGATTGAATCTATTCCACCCCAACTTCCGTGTTCACTACGGCTCCCTTGTACCACCTCTCTCCCATCAGTGACAGATCCACAGACAGCCGCACCATCGGTTTCCCGTCAATCACCGCAAGTGTCCTGCCCCAACACAACCTCTTGCGACACGCCTTCGGCACCCAAATAATTAACTCTCTCCCCGGCCCCTCAATCCAACCCGATTCCGATCCCATTCTGGAGCCCTCCATGAAACCTCCACCTATTCCATCTCCCATGTCCCAAACCCTCGCCGTCTTATCCATCGAGCCCGAAATCAGCCGTCGACCGTCAGGAGAGAACGCCAAGCTGGTGACCATGTCCCTGTGTCCCTCCAAGGACGCGAATATGCGCTGTCGAGACGACAGATCCCAGACTTGGATTTTATTTCTCCCATTGGCAGTGGCGAGAAGAGTTCCATGAATGGCGACCAAATCTAGTTCATGAGAACCTTGCGCCAGATAGTGAACCGACGTCTCGAGTGGGGTGTCTTCAGGCGATAGGTTCCAGATGGCGATGCAGCTGTAACACGCGGCTGCAAGAACGCCGGCTGATGTGTCGAGTGCAAAGGAATAGATGGCGAACTTGCATGTGAGGAATACTTCGCTGTTATCGAGAGAAACCCAATGCGAATAAATGGTGCGATCTTCGGAACTGGAGAGGAGAATGTCCTCCGAGAGGAAAGCTATGCCGGTGACACAACCGCTATGCCCTCGGAACGACTCTCTGCACTTTTTCTGCGTCGCGACATGCCAAAAGCGCACGATATTGTCTTTGCAGAGCGTCGCGACCACGGCACCGGACGGCAATATCGCAACGCGAGTGACTGGGCTCTCGTGCCTCAACTCGGCAACCAGCTCGAGCTTGTCCAGATCCCAAACCGACGCCCTGGTATCACGGGAGCCGGCCACCAAAAGGTTTGCATCGCGGGCGTAAGCGAGGCACGTAACTGGGCCAGCGTGGGTCTCGAAAGGTTTCAACACCGGGACGCCGGAGAGTGGGTCCCAGAATCGAATCGACCCGTCAGAACCAGCGGAAGCGACGTATTCGCCGTGCACAAACTCCACGCAGAGAATGCGCCCAGCATGCCCCTCGAAGGCTTGGGAATACATCAGGTCTTCCACGTCCGGAATGTGGACGTTGGTTGCTGGAATTTCCGCCCGGCCTTCACGGAACTCATCGGCGCCTTGTAGGATTACGGTGGCGCAAGGATTAATCAATGGGGAGTAGAGTTGACGGATCTTGGAGTTTTCTGGGACAAACGTCATGGCTGATAGGTAGATGTGGGGCGCACTCTTGCCCATACACTCCTGGAATGATTCGACAAAGACTATAGCGTCTTTCACTAGTGCCTGCAATTCGCAAGCCTCGGGACAAAATTAGTTTTCAACTTGAACACACAAAAGGACCACTCACGCCCAGCCATTTGGCAGCGCGACGTAGCTGGTCGAGCGCGCCAGACATCTGATCCGTCAAACTGAGTACCTCCAACCAAAACAGGAATTTGGTTTCAAAAAAGGTTTTCAAAGACGCTAGAATCTGTGCGTCTCCTGAGAGGTCTTCAGAGAGACTATCCGCCCAGAATTGTGAAGCGTAACGGAGCCGAGGTGAGATGTACTTGCTGCGGATGCGTTCTACCTTGGGATTTGACTTGTAGGAACTCGGGAACTTGTAGGGATCGAATTCGAGGCCTTGGAGCGTGGTAAAGAGCGCGCGAGCTATCTCCCTCCGACTGTTGGATGGATTGATCCGAAAGCAGCTCTGGCAATCGTCCGACTCGACCAAGAACTCGTTGAACGACTGATGGTCGAAACGCAACTCGTGGTATTTGTCTTCGGTGAGAACCGACCGCAGCCGCGAGCAGATGAAATTCGACTGCTGCGCGTCCACGCCAAGAATTTCGAACAACGGACTAGCCCTTTCCAACGGACGTATCGCAGTCACGATGGCCCCGATGAACGTGTGGAACTCGGCCATAAATTTCTTGGATAAACGACGCTTGTCGCCATCTGGGTAAAACGAAATCTTGAGGATGGCTCGGTACAACTTGGTTATGTCGCCATGTACCATCGTGTCGCCAGAGAGAATCTGCTCCAAAGCGTCCTGAGGCCCCGGCTGATCGATGAATTTAACGAGCGTAGCTGCCCATACGAAGAGTCCGTGTGCCTTCTTTGCGAGAGAAGCAATCTCCTCCTCCGTTGGCCAAGGGGTGGGTATGCAATACGAGTGGGCTATTCGCTGGAACTCCCTCTTCAAAAACGCCTCGATATCCCGCGTGACCTCCTGGCTGCTCAACCGCAATTCCAACGATTCACTAATGGGACCCAGAACCGCGGCGATAGAAGCCTCGTCTCGGCTGGTCACCACGAGCCTCCGCGTCGGTTCCAGCGTAGCCCATAGCTTGATGACCTCGAGCACATCGTCTCGGTCTTGAACGCAACGCTTGTCGAGGCCGCCGCATTCATCGAGCGCATCCAGAACCACGACTAGGGCGCTCTCCTGCGCAAGGGATGCCCTCAAGGGTTCTTGGACAAGCTGACGGAATTGCTCTACGACTGCCGTCGTGTTGTAGTCCATGCCGCGTGTCTGCACGATCTCCGTAACGGCCTCTTTGAATTCGTGCCGACGGACCAGATCTGCGGCAAGTGTCCGGACCATGGCAGAGGGCGAAGCGAATACTCCGCCGCCGCGCTCGAAGAAGAAGCTGGAGCCAAAGGTGGGAGTACCCGTCAAATGCTCGACGAGCGTTCGCGAGATGCAGGATTTGCCAGATCCCGGGAAGCCTTTGACCCATATGATGTTTGGCGCGTCCTCCTTAGCGAGGAAGGAATGTAGTTTTTCCAAGACGTCTTCTCGAGTGCCTTTGAGACATCCAGGAAGAGGCCTCTGCCGATCGGTGCCTTGTGGACGTAAACCGTTCAATATGTCATTGCGCTCCTTGTGAACTGCGGTCGTCAGTGTATATACATTGACGAAGGACTTGGAAGACTCACAGAAAGCATTCTGGGTCTTCATCATATCTGGCAAAGTCTGCGTCAATTTGAGGGTCTCCAACATGACCCGTTCCTGAAACTCAGCAGTCCAGCGCTGAAACCGTCGTCGAATCTGCTTGTACTCCGCCATTTCCATTTGGAACGAGATCCCTAGAAGTTGAATCAAAACGGAGCGCGTTCATCAATCGTTACAAATCCAACCGACCATGCTTGTAATATTTAGAAAGCAAATTTCCTACACGAATGATCTCGGGTTCGAGTGTTTTGATATTGTTCTCATAGTTCTGGAAATTGGTAAAGCATTTGAATTCGTTGACGTATCGGAGGAATCGAGTCATGTCTTCGAGGACTTCGAGTAGTTTCTCATCCCACTCCTCCAACTCGCTGAGAGTCTGGTTGAGATCAGTTGGAGTCGACAGCATGTAGGAGTACCCAGAAACGCACCGAATAAATCTCTTTCAATCCTTCCCAGATACTCTTGGCGATTGGATGGTACTAAATACAGCGTCAGTGCTACCATTGAGAAAAGATTCGCCTGCCCACCTCGGCAGCAGAGCCCGCCACTCGCGCTATATTTTCAAACAAAGCTCGATAAGGCCCCAGGCGGTCAAGCAGACGTGTTCGTCGCGAGATCGCCTCCTTGCCCTGCTCCAAGACCTGTTCGAGCTTCCGTCGTACCAAATGAATGGAGATTTCGGGGACGTCGGGGAATGTGTGTTCTAGAAAGGGTCAGTATCAGGGCGGTGAATAAGATTGCATGGATTCTCACCCACTCCTTCCAGAGGAGCGGCCGAAACAAGCTTGAGAGCCTCCGCCCACGTCAACGACGAGGACTTGACCATAGACTTGAGGGGCCAGATGTAGTACGGCCTCCGGAGCAGACAAAGCCGAAGATCAGGCATGTCGGGGCTCAAGGAGCTGTTCAGCCAGATCAGTTGAAAAACGGATGGACAGGGCGAGAGGAGCCTCACAACGTGAATGGTATTGTCTGCGGATACGGCGTACTCGCGAGTCGACGCTCAAACTCGGACGATCCATCGACTCGCTGAACGCTCAAATAATGAAACCCACGACCACGCAAGGCCTCGTTCACACGGGCCACTGCGATTTGACATCAGTCACGGAGGACATTGAAAGACTGAGATAGACTCGCTGGATATCTGCACCACGGGCCTATTTCAACTGTCATTGGGGCCAGGCAACACCACTATGATACGCACCTTTCATGGACTTTCAGGATCTTGAAAATAAAGCTGAGTGTCTCCGGCGCCTGTTGGAAGAAATTAGCCTCGGACAAGCAATCGGACTTGGGACGAACGTCGCCGATATCGATGTGCATGGCGAGGTCCGAGTCCCCGGCAATCGAAGTTCCTGCTGCTCGTATAAACAGCGAAGACGAAGAGTCCATCGGCACGTACCGTCGACACAGATATCTCGGACGATATCCTGGTACGCGAACTCTCTGACTGCAATCGACGGCGTTGTGAGATTCGATGTCGGTTTGTGGTGGGTGCACTGCACAGTCAGGATCGCGCCCGGATGAACTCTATCGTTGCTATGGTTTGAATGCGAAAGACCATCTGAACCCAGGCGGACTTACGTGAGCTGCGGGTTAAGCATGCATCGTCGCGATCCACTCCGCAATACGGCCTCGACGGTGCTCTCCCGGGTGGAAAGCTGACACGTCACGGCTCTTTGTATTCTTGGATCGAGCGACACTTCTGTGTGCTCGTTAGCAGAGGTCGTGAGTATGTAGCGATGGAATCTGCGGACCTATGATCCTGAGAGTATCACTTGACATCCTGTCGAGGCGTTTCGTCGGGTGAAAACGACCACCAAGCCGATACGCAGATGAGGGAGGATAAAGAGGAAGCCAGGGCACAGTGTTCTTGTTCCGATTTGTCAATGTACGCAATCGAATAGTAAGTCGGAACTACTGCGGGCCATGAG